CAATTTATTCGTCACAGGAAACTTGAAAATGGTTCAGGTCACAGGAACAGTTTTAAGTCAAGATTAAAAAATAAGCAGTTCTGATGAGACCCAATATTCGGATCAAATTATGGTGCACGAAGAAAACTAAGAAAATTAAAAATATCTTTTCATTGCGTAAGCCAAAACGAATACTTGATCTACGAAGCGTCTTCAAACTGCGACTTTTTGTTTTTTGAACCATGAAACAGGATTCTCGCCCTATTGGTACGCCGATTGAAGGTTTGAAGGCTAGACCAGCACATTTTAAATATTCTGCTTAACACCGTTCCAAAAGTTAAAGTGGTATTTCAAGTTCGTTTTGAGACCAAAGGACTTTCAAACTTAAAAAATATTTGTGCGCAAGTTGCCAAACACCCACTAATTGTTGCACACTCTCACGGAAAATATTCAATCTCAATTTTTGATAAACACATAGAAACAGAGTTTTGTATATGCGATTCACACACACTTTTTACCATATCGAATTCGTGAACCAGGATGAAACAGCTAATGCTGTTGCATCAAAATAAATATTTCTTAAAGTTCTATCAGGAGGATGTGTGTTCAAGCCAGAAAAATAAGGAAATAGTTTACACAGACGAGTTCCTAAGTAGAAAGAGTTTTAACAGGGTTTACTTAAAATATATCTACTATAGTATTGCTCTAGTATACTACTGCTTAGGATCATGTTTCGTCTCTTCTCCTGAAATGTAACTTGCACCTGACGAGAAAATAAACCAATAAAACATATTATTTATCTACCAAGCTACTAAAAGCCAGGAACGCATTTGCGAAATTCGATCCTACTCTGGAGAACACGTTACTCGATATCCTACATATTGCTTTTGAATGGAAGTCTTTTTAGCTTCCGGTTTATTGAGGATAAGGCACACAATTGGGTGAGTGTGTAGCAAAGGCAATTTTGCTCAGAAGGTATATTTAAGTATATACGAAGACTCGACGGAGGTAATTTAAAAAAATATATTATTTTATAGCGGCCAGCCTGGCTGCCTTTGTTTGCATTCTAGAAGGCCTAAATAGGTGTCTGAACTTTCTAACAAGCTTCAACTGGCAAAAGTTTGCAACTATTTACAAGTCCTAGTCCCATTATTTGCAAACACCATTTGCCAAGCTGAATTTTCCAGCAGTTTAAATTATTAAATCCTCCACTGTCGAATAGTTTACAGCACATTATTATGTCATGAAATTTTGCTTTCAGTTAGACAAACCCGGACTTTACTGTTCGGAAGTCGGGGTTCGGTTCTGGACTTATTTAGATGCTCCAGAATACGAGGAGACTGATTATTTATAAATGCCTCGAACGTCTTTCCGTATGTGACGAAAAGTTCACGTCGAAATTGCCAGAGTTTTGTTGAATTAATCATCATTAAAGAGCATGTTTTAGCATTATAAACTAGCTATAGCTAATAAACGCAGCAAGAAAATTATAATGAAAACACACTCAGCTTTAAATACTCGCCACTATGTAGTTGTAATGTTTTCGAGTGCCGTAAAACCTACAGGGCATTAACTCAAACACACAGGTCGTCAGTTATGTGTTTCATGAATTAATAAGCAGGGACTTATTTCCTGCTAGATAGTATTTTCAGATATCTACAGTGTTGTTAGTTATGTAACGGGCCTCTATAAACTATTACTGCTTATTACGCATAACAGAAATTATGCGGATGATTTATATTCGGCAAATATGAAAATATCTACAGAAAAGTGTGTTTAAGCGATAAATTATGAGCTGGCACTTTACATGCGTTGTAAATCAACAGTAGGTGAAACGCTTAAATATGCGTCCAGGCTTTATAATTTTAAATATTTATTCAGAATATTATTATTCCATGTAGATACGACTGGACAGATTTTCTGTATTTTTCTAATTACTTACATACTGTTTTGCGCAATACTTCAGGATTTAACACCGCTAAGCCGACATCTGCAAACACTAGAAAAGACTTAAAAATGCTGATTGGTTCGAATTATGGCTTATTTAAAATTTAATTGTTAAAAAGTGTGAACTGCTGATTTAAAAAAATAGTTGTTTAGCTTGATCTGAAATTTCCATTTCATTCTGCTCACACTGAAACTTACATTTTTTCGATATTTGCGTTAAAAATCTGTTACTAATCTGGACATGGCAAATATGTATATTACTTCCTTACATACTATATAGTACTACCAAAATGGCCTTTGGTCAACATTTATTTATTTCCTAGCGGATCGCTATGAACTATTTTTCTATGAAAGTTTTTTAACTGTGAAAAATCTTAACTCCTTTGTTTGCCAGATATCTTAAAAGGAGCTTCGGAGGAAATATCAACAACGGATTTTTTTAAGCTCATACATTATATTTGATTGAAATTGTAGGTTTTTTTATTGACGTTTTACCTTCTAGAATTTTTCAACTTGGTTAAAGAAAACATATAAGCATTACGATTCTTATATTGGTCAGTTTTCTAGTACGACCATATTGGTCTTTGCACTCTAAAATACCTCTTCACTGATATTTCCATGTTCTACGTTTAAATCAAGGGTATTGGTTTTCTTTCCTCTCATCGTATTAAATACGTAGCTGCAGCCGGGATTTGTAATACATTTAGAGTAATTTACAAGATATAAATGCTGAAAAGTTGATAAATTTGCAATTAAGTCCTGTTCAATGATACAGATGGAAGAGAAGATAGATCAAAACATATCCTCACTTTTGATTAATGCTGCTACAAACGCTACCTTGACCGTTAACGCAAACGCGTGTGTATTTATTTACGTTTTCTGCTTTTATAACTTATTTAAGGCGTTCAGAAGGACCGCAATATGTTACTCGGGCAGCGCTTTCCTAGCTGACCATCTTCCCATATCAATTGAGTAGCGCTCGGTTAAGAGTGAGCAATAAAGTTGTAAGTAAGACGGTACATTTACAGCTCTTAATATTTACTGAGTGCACATTTTAATTTATCAACTAGAGGCATCGGATCGCATTGGTATGCCAAAATGGTTAGAGCCGTATGTATTCAGGACAACGGACCACATCGCGTAGATATTCGTTTAACCCGAATCAATATGCAAGCCAAACACCGGAGCGTGGCTTCAGTATCATTCCGGCCCGAGCCCAGCCCCATATAAAATTTATGAAAAGGAAAATTTCTAAGAAATATTACCTTCCACACGGGCAAAGAAAACATGTTTTCCGAGCCATCGCCTTCTACCCTTATAATGTTTGTCTGTGACTTTATTATGTTGCAAGAAGGCGTAAAAAAATTCATGAGCCCGTTTTTTTCGAATATAATAAAAGTCAATTTATGAGTATCCGGTATATAAAGTATTTCAGGAACTATTTACCACATAAAATGTATGGATATGTGTCTGTGCATACATATCCATACAGCAGTTCTTGTAACTGCCGTGCTTGTGAAATCGATGTAAATAAATGAATAACCTAATCCGAGCGCAAAAATAGTGTTCAACGCATTAGAAGCAAAAGAAGTTTCTAAATAATTTATGATGAGTTCTAAATGCGCAGGAAACACGATTTCATATGGTTTTCAATCGGACGCTGAAGAAACTAAAAAATGGATCGAAAAAACCACCGCCCTTTATTAAATAATTTCATGAGTAGCGTTCCCCAAACCTTATAGGAACATATAAATCGATTAACTTCAAAATCAGTTCACTAATCTGTATATTTTAAAAATAGTATAAATTGCTACAAACATTTTTTTTGACCAGATTTGAAAAATCTCAAAACATTTCAAGAAATGATCCATGCATGTCGGATTTAGCTCTATAGAGGACTCATTTTTTAAGTTTGCAAGAAAATATACCCATTCGAATTATGTAAGTCAGAAAAACTGATTAGAAAACAAAAAAAAAATGATCAAAGTAATTTACGTGTAATAACTATACTGATTAATAAAACCAAGAGTGGTTTAATGATATAGCATCACACTATAAGGAATATGTGAGGAAGCGCAATACTTAATTAAGAATTCAATTATATTACGTTAAACCGCCTAATATATACATATAGGTATCAGATTAATTTATTAAGTTTTGGCATTTAAAGCGCAAATCGATAACGGCGCGTTCGATTTAAACTGTAAAATATTCAGACAGTTACTTTGAGGATTGAAACAATAAACCTTCTATATATCTAATTATAGTTTCGAATATCCGACATTTGGAGAGGTAAAATTAGGTACGCGTCAAATGGAGCTACGCCAAACTATCTGACACTGGGCTTTGAATAATTTAACGACATTGGAGGCAAGCGCAGCTTCAAATTTTGATCGGAAAATTGCTTTCACCTTTCAGAACCGATTGCGCTTAAATAACTCCGGGTGGTTTTTGTTTTCGAATCCCGAAAAAGGTGTTTTAATGGGCATTTCTGTCTGGTCTGAGAGTAATCAGCTTTATATGTTTTTCACCAGCTTCAGTCGCCGTACATCTAAGCCGAAGAGATCGCCTTTTAAGACGATAAATCATTAATTTCGAGAAACGGCACACGTATGAAATCAAAGCTGTGTAAATTTATTGCATATAATGACTCACTACAGATTTCTTTCATCTTAGACATGTTTTCCCCAATTTGGTCACTTTAATCGCATGTTCAGTTTGTTAGCAGTAGCAAATTTTGAACTTAGTGTTGAACGTCACTCGTTTTGGTGTGCACTCTTGGTGTTGGTCTCGCAGGATCGATGTTATTTTTTGCAAGACCAAGACCAATATTTTTACAAGAATCTTACGAAAATCTCGCAAGTATCTTGCAGAATATAATTCGATATTGAATTGAATCAAATCTCTCTTCGTAGCCCTTAAATATGTTAAGAAAATTGTACCGCTTTAAACGAGACCAGTCAAGGTTAGTCTTGCTTTTGCTTTGCTGATGACTCTTTATATATGTTAATGACTATAGAGTTCACATTTCAGATACAAAAAACTGATCGCATGCAAACTTATGAAAATCTTACCTGGCTTATCATCTCGCATCGAATATCGGGGATTGTTGGTCATGTTCAGCGGTAACATGTTCTTGAGCCAAGTGATCTTCGGTGGAGGACTGCCCGTTGCTGCACAATTCAGCATTGTGTTGTGTCCGATCTCGACCACCTTGTTGTTTTGGGGCGATTCGGTGATTTGGGGAAAGCCCGGGGGCAATTTGTCCGCTGAAACAGGGATTACCAATTAGACACATTATATCGATGGGGACTACCTATAAATTATTTGTGTATTCAGCGGGATTTCCATATTGACATAACCGAACATGGGGCCCGATTCGGAAATTATTTTTTGAATTTACAATCCGCATTGCACGTATATGAAATTTGGATCAGGCAGAAATTCATCAGTTTAATATAATAAATATATGCATCTGCATACCATTGAGATAGCTGCCAACTGTTCACATCAGCAGCACGGAAAAATATGTCACCAGTTAAACTTTGAAAAGTGTTGGGAGTTTATTTTCTTTCCTTTCTTCTTAGTTAGTCCGGTTACCACTTCATCTAACAAGTCGTTATCATTTCAAATTTATCTATTAATTTGCCAATTTTTATATAATCTTCATTGGAAAAAATTAATATTTTTTGCTTAACAAGTGACAAGTAGATTTTATGTTCAAGCCCTTCAGTATTGAAAAAATATCAGATTTTGCCTTCTATCACATGATCGTCGGATTCAAGGTTTAAGAGACAGCATTTTCAATTATAAAGGCTTTAAGATAGAATCATGTTTAAACCCTTTGAATACCCGTCAGCCGAAATTTAACGGGGTGAAGAGAACGTTGATCCACGATATGACTATGGAAACTTGCTTAACAGGTTTTTCTCCATACTATACAGGTCAGGGCTTTCTTTCTACTGTATCAATATCATGAAAAAATGGCAATTCATAAGAGAGCTAACTGCCAAAATCATAAGACAATTTCGATATGCATTCGCAGGAAAGTATTCTTAATGTCTTTGGTTTTACCGGATTGAGGCTCACTTCGCTAGAGCGAGAACCATTAGTCATATAAGTTTGCCTGCCTCACTGTATAAACAGTGTTCCTGGGTTTCATTCATTTAGTTAGATTGTCATAATTTAGTCCCTAAATAAAAACGTTTCGGTGTTTTTTCCACCTTCATCAGTTTGTCTAAAACAACAATAAAAAGTGTATAACATTGTTTTGTTTATACACATATATAATTTATAGGAATACTTTAAGATTGTGGGCCCTTTGTTTTAAAACCGGTTACATTTATCTATCACCACAGCCGCATTCATTACTAATTACTAAACTTACTTTTTAAATTACAAATACATTGAAATATTCTAAAATTATTAAGATTAAAGGTAAGGAGATCGTGATCATAAAATTTGGAAAAAGAATATAATTTCACATTTTAGAGTTTTAAATTATTATCGTACTTACTCTGTGCTGATAGATAATTGAATCCGTTTTTTAAGGGCCCACAATATTAAAGTATTCCTATAAATTATGCATATGTATAAACAAAATAATTTTAACAACTGGTTGTTTTAGAGAAAATTATGATAATTTATATAAATGACTCAGGTACATTGTTTTAGAACCATTATTGTCAAACCAATTTAATTGAGAAATGCTGGTCAATGCGTAAAATTAACAACTAACAGTTCTGCAGAGAAACAAGGGATTAAACACGAAGAAGAATTTTTCTGCAGAAGTGTTAATCGTTAATTTTAAGCATTGATCACCATTGTAAAAGTAAATTCTGAAAATAATTATTCTTTAATAAACGAATCAAAATAAAAAAATATGAATTTTCCCGCCCACGAGTTAAAGTCTCCAGCCACTCTTTTTTCTTAGTCTGCCTTCCAGTTTCGCCAGCTAATATTAATGAAGGACAAACTGTTACTGATGTTCAGTTGTAACTGATATAGTTTTTTCACCTCCTCAAACTACTTTATCTCCAGCGGAATTACCGCAAATTTGCACCACCGTGTGTATTTTTAATAGATGAATCGCCCGCTCGCCATCCGGGCATTTATCATTTTTAATGTCGCTTTAAGTCCATTGTTGGAAGCACATCTTGAAGGATTTCCAAGATTTCCAAAGCTGATATTAGCGCCATCAAAAGCAGCTTTTATTTCTATTGCTGCGTCCTTCCTGCTCAAAATTACCTCACTTCTCAAGTGCTTTGTAAGCGTATCTCAGCGAAATTATATTCCTGGGAGCTTGGCAAAACAGTAATTACCAACTGACTTAAACAAGGTTTTTCCTGAGTAAGACTATTTAATAAAAGTGTATATGCCGTATCCACAGCATTCAAACTTCAGCTTTCGAACAAAAGCTCCCAAAGACTAGTTTTGCACTTTGAACTTTATTATTAAAACTTTGAGTCTTACCTTGTTGGGAATAACAAAAGGACGCTGTTGTGCATAAAGACTTTCGGCTTTTCCTTATTGTTTCCAGTGCTTGTAAAATTGATAGCATTTTGAATTAAGGCGAGATTGTTCACAAAGACGAGTTTTATTGGACCTTTTTTGAAAATACTTTCGTTATGAAAACCCCAGCGTGTAAAAAACTGGAGAACTGTTAACATCGAAATACTCAGCATCAGAGTTTCATTCCGTGGTTATCGTGTAATCCGATTATCTTCGGCAGGGAAAAGCAATCGGCATATATCACCCAACACATGCATAGACTATCACTTGAAATTACCTGGTAGTATAATTACTGTCACACCTTTTTATGGGGATTCAATATTAGGCTGCTATATACATTTTAATATGTAGACAAATTCGTAGCTAATCTAGTTAGTCAAACATGCTACAGGTGACTTAAAATACAACATAAAAGCACTTCTTTTAAAATAGTAACGCGATCTGAAATTAAATATGACTTCGAGAGAAAAGGAAAAAATGTAAAGGTGTAAAATAGCGAGGCAACGTCACATAGAGTTGACGACAACACCTTGCGATATTTAAGTACTCAGCGTGCACTCAACTCGTATATGTGGGAAATTGCAAGAGTGACGGGACATCACGATGCTTTTATCGTTACCGTGATATGTCCAATTTTAGAAATGGAGAGCTTTATTTTTAAAGCTGGATGCAAAGCGTTGAATGCAATAGATAACTCTTTTTCACTTAGTTTACACAAAAATGTTACATACGGGATGTTTCGGATATATAATATATTTGAAAGTAGGTGGAGGATACCTGACTTTTTTATACGAAGCGTCCAGAGGAACATCGATAAAGGTCACAAATCATCAAAAATTAGTTACCAGTGTCAGTTTTTATAGCATGTACTATCGATCATGCCATTCGCCCAGTGCAAAAGGACTGAGACTCACCTCGTTGAGAAAATTGGTCGAGACAATTACCGTATTTTCCTCAATGGTCACTCCTTCTGGAGAGCTACCGAAATATGGCTCTAATTAATAACCATAATTTGGAAGAGGTGCTGAAAATTTTGACTGAACTGAATCGCAAAATAAAACTGAAATTTGCATCATAGATACGATAAAATCCCTCACCATTTGTGCTCGAAACGTGTTATCAGCATTTATGTAGACGCTGATCAGAATTTTCTTTAACAAATTTTATTTCTAAATTACCAGTCAGTCGTCGTATAAAGTGATGAAAATTGACCAAGATCATGTTCAATTAATTAATAAACACATAGACATCAAGTGTAATTACAGTAGAACAAGCTGCAAAAAAATTAAATTTTTCGGTGAATTAATTTCCACCTCGATTACATCACGTTCCTCTACTTGCTGCCGTTCTTAAATTTCAACGTTTGTAGGTCCTGAAAAGATTCTGCCATCTCCAGCAGCGCAAAAATGTTACACACATACACACGAACTCTACTATAAAAAATCGTAATAGTTTAAATTCTTATCCTTGAATCCCTATATTATTATTATTATTATTTAATGTCACCACGCAACTTTTTTACGGCAAGTTGAAACGGATTACAGTATCTGCTCAAAGAAAAACGTGTTAAAGTTAAATTTTGCAAATATCTCTGTTTCAACATTTTGTGACCTTCATCGTCATTCTCTTCTCTCGTCTATGAAGGACCCCTTCATATGTACTTCTCACATTGAAACATGCTTGCACCTTTAGGGTTTTGTAGGAGCATTTAGTTTTCTATGTATAAATTGGTGAAATTTGCAGCATTGATAAAGCATTTTGCTTTCATATTCTTAATCGTGCGGTCTCTGACTCTGTTGTACATACGTATTTTGCCTTTCAGCAGTAATAATAATTACCTTAAGAACACAAAACGTGAATTCGGAGCGTTGCCAAATATAGTTTAAAGTGTTACACGCCATTTTAAAACTTTTCCGACTTCTCACACTTACACCTACTTACACCTGAATTAAAGGTATATTAAGTTACACTTCGTCTCTAAGTAGATGGTAAATAAATTTTGGCTATAAAACAATCTTCACTTTTAATTTTGACATCAAATATCAGCCATTGATGGGTATATACAGAAATTGAGGCCAAGCCTAGAAGACCAGATATTTTCGATATTCTACTGACAACTTCAACAGAAAAATGGTAATTGACACTAGAACGTTTTGTATGTATGACAATTTTAAACTAAATTGATACAGAAACTTTAGAGAACGTTTTTGAATCAAAAAATATATTCGACTATTCTTTCACTTCCTCCACCGATTTGTAAATATCCTGTGTACTTGTTGACCATCTTACAGAAAACCTCACATCTATTATGCAAAAAATAGAAAATAATAAATTGATCTGAATTGATTATTTTCAATACTTTATCATTTAATCACACAAAGGAAGTCACTTTTTTCTTAATATCTGACTTATTATTTATAATTCCACAAATAAGAAAATCGTAAAATAGCAAATAGGAGTTTGTTGCTGATCAAATTGTTTTTAACTAAAGAACCAAATAATCGTAAGAAATTAAATAATTATAAATTTGACAAAATGTTCCCGCCTTGCACTTTGAAACGATGTTTTTCTCATTAATATTACGTAGATACTTGACGCTCTAAAGGTAAATAAAAAAAGTAGTCAGATGAGAATAATACAATGTTTCAGAAAATGAAAATCCACTTGAGAAAACTTCATTTTTTAAAGCATTCATAAAAATATTTTTGATTAATGCAACTTCCAACCCATCACACGAGTTTTGTCACCGAAATAAACA